ATTATTTTATTTATATCAGTTTCTCTGCTCTCAGACCTTCATCCTTTCAGTTCCTCGGTTTATTAAGAGGTTTTTTTAACTTGTTGAAAAGTTTTAAACTGAACTCTAACTTTTCCTCCAGTTTCATCTGTTACTTTCTCTTGACAAGTTGATCAAATAAGCTCAGACTCTAAATGCACATTCACACTTACACATGAGTGTAGTAATTTATTTAAATATGTAGAAAAAACTAATAAAACTTACATCCGATATAGGTCACAGCTTGTTGTTTTGGAAAACTGCAGATTTTCTAAAAGTCGCCTAGTTAAACAGAAGGAGAAAACAGTTCCTTGTTTCATAATGTTTTAATGTAAATGAAGAGAAATATCAGAGCAGAAGTCATCCATCAAGTGCAGCAACACTGAAACTGTCCTTAAAGACATAAACAGAGAAAAATGTTTGATTTTGTTCTCCAAAGCTTTATTCACAAACTTCTGTTTTGTTTTTTTTCAGAAATGAACCAGGAAGTAAGAGGAAAAAGACATTTAGAGAATTTAGGTGAGAAACTGGGTTAAATTAATATTTATTCTGAAGCATCAAGTTTAATTTATGACTGTATTTAAACTATTTTATATTCTACAATGATAATAACTGTTTTACTTCTCTGTAGTTCTGCAGCATAAAAAAACTGTGGGACCCATCTACAGAAACGAAGGAGAAAACATCACAGTTACATGTGAATTTGGTTACACAGGAAAGACAAGGTTCTTCTGTAAGGAAACTTGTAAAGGAAAAAATATTCTCATTCAAACAACTGAAGACAGAGATGAGAAAGGAAGATTCAGCATCAGATATGAAGAAAGAAGTCATACTGAATTTGATTTTCTACATGTGAGCATCACAGATCTGAAACCGTCAGACTCAGGACGATATCGGTGTCGCTCAGATGGAACTGTGCTTTTAAATTTGTTTGGAAATCAACATGCTGATTTTGATCTTGTTGTGACTGAAGGTGAGTTTTCTGGTTTACATATTTAGCTCAGATTGTAAGAGCAAACTAGGAGGACCCAAAATCAGCCACAAGACAAAAGTGAGCAGAAACCACAGATCTTTATTAAAGACAGCTTAGAGCGGCACACAGGAAGGTCAACTGCAGCACTGGCTAGGAGATAGTGCAAGGAGGCTGGGGGAGAAGCGCTGAAGCAGGGCAGCGTACTCACACTGTGGAATGAGAGGTATAAAGTCCAGACCCGAGTTCTTGGTCAGCCGGGCCGAGGTCATACACAATGAGGAAGAGAGCAGAGTCCGAAGGAGTGGGGGTGAGCGGTGTCAAAGAAACAGGCTAGGGTTGAGATCCGAGTAGGCAAATCCAGAGAACAAGGGCGAGGCAGTAACACAGAGGACGAGATGGGAGAGCTAGAAACTACTTGCTGAAAGCGTTTGATAATCTGGCAGCGTGGGGGTGACAGAGAGAGGCTTAAGAAGGGAACCAATCAGGGAGCGACGATGCTGCAGGGAATAAGGGAGATGAGGGACATGACAAGGATGGTCTCAAAACAAACAGGGCACCATGTAACCATCACACAGATTTTCAACAGATCAACTTTAAAATACCAACATGTTTAGACTGTGACTCATAAAGACAAACATCCATCATCAGAATATAAAGTTGTTGTGATTCTGTTTTCTTCTCTCATCTTCAGATTTTTCTAAACCAAAATGGACTCCAAGACCTTTAATAAGATCAACTTTTGTCCCAGCAGCTTCACCACCACCACCACCACCAACAACAACAACAACAACAACAACAACAACAACAACAACAGCAGCAGCAGCTTCAACAACAACAACTCAGAGTTTTTCTCCTTCTCCATCTGAAACCATCAAATCCTCTGATAAACCAGCTGCAGCTTCAGGTTCATCATCTTTATGTTTATTAGATGTTTATTTGATGATTCGGATCAGAGACTCAGACTATTGTTAAAAAAACAGTTAGAAATTTGCAGATAATAAAAAAAACAACTCTTGATTATTTATAATAGATATTCAATTTCAGTAAAACAGTGAAAAATGTCTGTGAGTTTAGTGTTGGATTATGTTTGAATCAAAGGCTGGGAGGCAAACAGAGCAGAAATCATGAAGCAAAGGGAGGAAAAGGGGAAGCAGACAGAACCAAGATGTTGGACACAAAGTGTAAAATCTTTACAGAGCTCTAAGAACCTGTAGTTTACTGGACTGACACAACAACAAAACACCGAATGGATAGAAAACAATAAAAGCTGGAGAATCTGATCAGTGCAGATCATTAAACACACAATATGTGTCCTGTGAATTAAATACACAAAAATCTGGTTTCTTATGAGCAGCTTATGAAGGAAGAACATTAATGCACATGGCATGTTTAACTGGAACATGTTTAACTGTAACATGTTTGTGTAATAAACTAAATAATCTTAAATCCCTGCAGATCCTTTGCTTTATGTGGGTCTGAGTCTGGCCATCCTGATCATCTTGTTAGCGACGGCTCTGCTGATTTTCTGCCAGAGGAAAAACCTCCATCAACAGAAAGGTGAGTTATAACACACTGCTGTTTATCAACCAGAAAAAAAAACTTAGCTGTCATGCACTGAAACTAACTATGCCTGTCTTCACATATCCATCCATCCATTTTCTGTACACCCTTGTCCCTTAGTGGGGTTGGGACTCTCCACATATAGTTAATTTTAAATAATTTCTTCATATTCACAAACTATGAAATGTCAAGAAATTTAAACAGTGGACTTGAGAATACCTGCTTTGTTGTCATAAAAGCAAACATTTAATAAAAGCATTGTTGTTTGAATTGAGCTGCTCACACTTGTCCTGCATACAGAGGGGAAATTATGAAAACTTGAAGCAGATCAATGTTCAGCATTTTCTGTAACCTCATTATTTTTACCCTGATGTGGAAAGTTAGTGTGGAAACAGCCTGCCTAAAATTTTCACAAGCTGAGAACTTTCTTTAAGATCGGCCAATTTGAAATATTCTTGGACTTGTAATTGTTGGAGGGATGAACTGGTTTTAATGTTTTTGTTATTATCATGATTTCAGCAATCAACAGCTAACAGTGTTGTTTGTTTGTTTCTTTGTTTTGCTAATCTGTATTATATAGTTTCTGTCTATATAGCTGAACTCTGTTAACACAGAGTTTGTAAAGCTGAATTACTTTAAAATGGATAAATAAGCTTAAGAAAAAGAACTAAATGATTGATAATCCAAAAAGTACACCAGTATACCCAAATACCTCTTAGACTATGCAGTGTGTAGGAATCTCTAAAATATAAATGTTTTTATGACCTCATTAGTTGCTCAAAGTGGTTTTGTCTGAACAATATCAACTAATCCTTTGGCTCTGCCTTTTATATGAATTTGAGCAACATGCCATTAGAAATTCATAGGTTTCAAAAAGGAAGTTGGTCAACGTTTGCTCCACCTCTTCTTGTCACAAACTGTTCTCCCCACTTCATGTGAACATATTGTGTGATTAGTATGAATTTCCTGGCTGTTTATTAAGCAGAAACTAATGCTACTCAACTCCCAGAAGCACCTGAGGACTGAAATTGCAAACATCTGGTTTGGTTTAAAGAAATATTCATGTTAGAATGGCCCAGTTAAAGTCCAGATCTATGTCAATCAACCAGTCAAGTTTATTTGTATATCACATTTCAGCAGCAAGGCAGATCAGAGTGCTTTTGATAATAAAAACACAAAATCATGAAGTTATAGAGAAAACATCCTATAGTCAACAATTGAACTAACGTTACATTTTGGTGATCGCCTTCACCAAAATCAATACTGTTGGTCAAATTTTCACTTAATGTGGCTCAAAAGCAACTCAATACAGCTGGGTTTTTATTTTGATATAAAGGAACTCAGTGTTTCAGCTGTTTTGCTGTTTTATGAAAGTTTTCAATCACCAATAAAAAACAAAGTCAAACTGAATCAATGGCAAAACTTAATTATTATTGTTCCCATACTCTCATACCAATTAGGCTCATAAAAATAAGCAAATATTTCAGTCTGCAGGTGTGCAAATCTGGATCCCATGATATTGACTTTATTGGCTACTTACAGTTTTACAATGTTGCTTTAAATCAGATAATTCCTCGTTTTGTTTTTCAGGTCCTCCAGTGAAAAAAGATCCTACTGACTTCACAACGGTAAGTCAGAGTAAAAACATCTGCATCGTATTTCTAATCCTGCGGCAGTCAGTTTGTAAAACCAATTTAAACTCTTGGTTCTGCAGATCAACACCGTTTATGAGGAGATCAGAGAGAAGGACAGAGAGAACAAACCTCCTGCTGGGGAAATAACTTCAGTTTACGCTTACGTCCAGTCCAACAAACCAAACGCAGCTGAAAGCAACGAAATATACAGCCTGGCCAGCAAACCGCAGGGGCAAGTAAGTGGGACTGTAGAATGACAGCAATAGAAATATTAATAATAATTATTTACACTCTGATTCGGCAGATTGGGGGCGTTATTATTATTGTTGTTATTGTTATTATTATTATTATTATTATTATTATTATTATTATTATTATTATTATTATTATTATTATATTTTCATTCAGTTTGAGCTAAAAATTCAAATGCACACATCTAGTTTTAGCTAGTTATGTGATGGTTACAGGATCAAGTGAAGACTTAAGTAAATTAATTTTCATTGATTTGTTTCCCCATTTTGTAAATACCTGCTGGTGAGATCGTTAATTTTTTACATCTTTGTAGCCATTTAGAAAGTTTTTGTCAGGAATGCTTCAAATAAAATCCAGGAAGCAGGTAGAAACTGTACACAACATTTCACTAATCTTTGCATAAAATCAGCAGGATATACAGTGTAATTTTCATGTCTCGACACAAACTATTCTTTGTCTCTTCTATGTTAGTAAACTACACTTAGAAATAATTCATAGTGGATCACAAACCTGCAAGTACTTGAGACACACACAAATGCCTACTTTAATATTTCAAATACTAAATATACCTTAAAATGCTTTATTATGCACAGTACAAAACATAAGCTAACGCTAATTAATAGTAGCATTGTGTGTAGGCATTTCAACTTCTGTCTGCATTTTCTATTGAATATTTTTGACATAATCTACAAAAAAATCTGCAGATACACAATTTACCGCAAAAAACCTCGAGTCATACTCCACTAAACAATCCACAAAAGTACAGAGTTGAATCTGCAAATACTAAACTGTATGTATTTAAAATCATACTGACTTTTTAGTTAATAATTATGTATTTATTATTTTATATTCTGCTTGTAGAAACATTCCTATTCATAAATGTATAAACTTTTCTCTGTTTTCTTCCAGGCTGAAGAGGAAGACATAGAGTACTCTGAAGTGCAGCTGCCGAACGGTGCCATCAGATCAAACGGCGGCCATCTTGCTGCTTCAGATAACGTCACCTACTCAGAACCTCGGTTAGCCACGAGCTCAGGTAGCCATGGCAACGGGTCACCTCCTCTTTATTCCACCATTACTTCACAAGAGTAGCTTTGCTGTGGATCTGCCGTTTGCTTGTCCTCAGGGAAAACTCAAACCCATTAGCTCTATAATTAGCTTTGAGTCACTAAAACTGTAAATTTAATTAATATGCTTTTGTAGGACACATGCTAACCTGTTGTAATGGACCATAAAATCCATATAATATGGATTCAGAAACAGACAATATCAAAATCAGTCCACATGGTGATTCTTTGAGCGTTTTAAAAAAAATGCATAACAAGCTGGATAATCAATTCAATATCTGAGTTTAATATGGCAGTTTTTGTTTTTCACTCTCTGTTAACCGAGACGACAGAAAAGTCAACAGATGGAGCTGAGAAGGATTTTATCCTATTATTGCAACAAACTGCAGTAAAAATACTGAAAACTCAGGTCAGTGTGGCTCAGTTCATCAAATAAAACATAATTGTTAATGCTTTTTAATTTCTCTATGGAATCAATTTTTGATTTGAATTTGCTACCTGCAAAGCTAATGCTGGATGCTAATTTGATTTTCTTCTATTTGTGACACAGATGCTGCCTTGCACTGTTCTGTTAGAATAGTTAGCAAATATTTTCATTATTTTAAACATTTTCTAATTGCTATGCATAGATTTAGGTAATATGTATTATCATGCCCTGCGACAGACTGGCGACCTGTCCAGGATGTACCCCGCCTCTCGCCCGGAACGTTAGCTGGAGATAGGCACCAGCACCCCTCCCGACCCCACTGAGGGACAAGGGTGTTCAGAAAATGGATGGATGGATGGATGGATGGATGTATTATCATTATTGTACATTTGTAAAATAGGCAATTAAATATTATCTGTGATGCTGGTTAATAACTGTAACTTAGTTGCACTCTGTAAAATGCATGCATAAAACCATGAAGCAACTTCCAGACAAACATTTTGAAGTTATTGTTTAAATGAATGAGGCAGAATTTAAAAACTGTCCTTCAGTTTGTGGTGGAAATACACGAAAGAGGAACTGAAACAATGCTGCAGCACCAACAGCTCAAAAAGTGGTGCAGAAATACCATTTTAGAAAAATAAAGGAAGGAAGAAGAGTTTTTATTGGGTATAATTGTACATGCATGTGTGGTGGTTGGAATAATATTACTAATGTAGCTCAATATTAAACCTGATTAATGTTTGGTTTATTAGAAAAGTCTTCCCTTTGAGGTCAGCTCAAGGTTTTGTGTTTTATCAGATGTGAGTCCGGATACTAGACAGGATGTGGTTTATAGCAGACTGTTCTTCTGTTCAACTTGTCCAAGTAACACTTGCATGGTTCTGCTTTTAATCAACCAGCATTTAAAACATTTATCTCAGTGAACAATAGTTTTACTTCTGCTTCAAAAGTACAACCTATTATAATCTTTTTTGATCAAATCAACAAGCCAACAAATTAAACACAAGATGAAATATAATCATATGACTGAAAAATAATATTAGTAAAATTATGTGGCTGCAAATAAGATTCCCATGATTTGTTCATGGAGATCTGTTAGAGCACTGACTCTGTCAAAGTGACCTAACTTCCTAAAAACCAAACACTAGTGATGCATTGCTGTGACCTTTTACCTACATAATGTTGCAGTTGTTTACGTCACACATGCAAAGGTTTATCGACGTGGATGCAAATATTTCTGTCATTACATCCATCTTTTTATGTGTAAAACAAAACATAAAAGTTTTCAGATAGAATATGAACTGAAATTGATGACAGTAACATTTAATAAATATGGGGTATTATTGTTATTTGTTGTATTGTTCTCCTTTGTGCAGTTTGTTTTGCTGTATTTGGCTGTTTTATGTTGAACATGTATAAAATTAAATCTATTTTCACTGAGGATGCATTATTTATTTTGGTCGATAAGGAAATAAATAAAATAGTATTCATTATATTTGGAGAGGGATTTGATTATTTGAACTTAACCACTTCATTTTTTAAAAGAATAATCCACCAGAATATAAAATGCTTTAACAATTTTGATTTATAGTTTCACTTCAACTGAAAAATGAAGCTCCATTAAATCTACCCTCCATCAAAAAGAGTTTTGTTAATCATTGTTTTAATGGGATGGCATCACTGGGACCATTTCCCATCTTCATTTATTCCTTTTATTAAACTATTGATCAGGCTCAAAATGTGGGCTCAGACCTGAACCTTAAAACGCATAAAGACGGTTACAAAGTCGGCCTTCTGTCACCTGGAGAACATTCCCAGGAAAAGAGGACTGTTGTCTCAGCAGGATCTAGAGAAACTCATCCAGATTTATTACTGCAACAGTGTCTTTACAGGTCTGAATAAAAAAAAAAACACGCTGCTGCTGGTGTTCTGACTAAAACCAGGAAGCTAGAGCACATCACCCCAGTTTTAAAATCCTTACTAAAATCCTTACTATGGCTCCTCAGAGAAAAAACTTTAAAATACTTTTGTTAGTTTATAAATCGCTGACCGGATTATATGCATTAAAGATCTGCTGCTGTTGTTCCAGATCATTCAGGCCTTCTGGTCAGACGAGGTCCTGCAGCGACCAACACAGTCTCAGTGTTCTTTAATTGTGAATGTAAACAGTAAGAAACATGGATCACACTCAGATTAATTGCATATCACATCTACATTAACATTTTTTTTTTTTTTTTTTGTCGATGACACCATTTTGTAATTGTTGGGCAAAAAATAAAACCCAACACTGAAAAACAGTAATATAAAATCTGGAACAAAAGTGACAATAAAAAGCAGTAAATTTAAATATTTTAATGAAAATAAATTTGACAATAAACATTTGCTTTTTTTGACAGTATATGGTCTCCAAAACAAATTAGAAAACCAAATTCTGCAGAGAAAACCACACTTATTTCCACTGCAGCAGCTGTTCTCACTGTCTGAATAAATGTGTTTCACTGAAACTGGCAGCTGAAAATAAAACACTTCCACTTATGTGACGTCGTTGTCAAAATAAGCTGATAACTACATAAAAACAAAAAGAATGTCAGCTTAAAGTAGAAATAAGTCAAAATGAATAACACAGAGAAACGGAAGACAAACAATTGATAAATATTTCCCTTTACAGTGTTTCAGTGCTGGAAGAATAAAAAATAAACTAAATACAACAAATGAGGCTGTGGCATGACATAGGAAAGACTTAAGATCAGCCGAGAGAATAAAAGCTGCAAAAATAAAACTTCTCTAATGTAGAGAAAACGACTGCTGCCTTTATAGTCATGTTTAAAGGAATATTTTGGCTATTTTATAACAGAAAATGGTCATTTTTGTTACCTGAAGGGGAAAAAAAAGGTTAAAAATAGTGTTTGCTGACCTGATTCTGCAAAATAACCCTTTAAAATGGCAGCTGAAGTTTTTTTTTGTTTTTTAAATCAAATGCCTTCTGTCTGAAGCTCATTTATTTTCCTTAATTCATTAAAAATGTCTCTGCTGTTCAGAATGTGAGCAGACTGCAGATTATTCAGCACTGTTAGTTGGAGCAGGAGAGGAAACCTGACCATGTTTTTAATTTTTTATTTGCAACTCATGAAAGCATAAAGATGGATGTTAGGAAAACGTAACAGGGTCAGGCTAAAAAAAAAAAAAGAAATCAGCAGATCTAAGCTGCAGAAACCTCCAGCTTAGACAAGAAAACAAACATTTGGTTCGTAGTTTAATGGTCTAGTTTCTAATGCAAATATCTAAGGGAACTTAAAGTAACAAAACTAACTTACAGTAACTTTTCAGCAAGTTGTAGGATCTTTTTTGAAGTCAATTTCTTAAAATTCATTAAAAAAGTACTTGTTACATTGGCAGATTATTTAACTTATAACAAGACATATTTCCCTTGTTACAAGAGAAATAATATGACAAGAACTAGAAATTATTGATGTACATGATTCTCCTTAATCTGACGGATTATTAGCAATAAATACGTTTCTGAGACACAGTTCATTCAGAACATCCAAGGTTACAATAAAGATTGTTCACATGTAGAAAAATATTATTACTTAGTGACAAAATAAAGACTGAGGTGAGACTAAAAAGGCAAAGTGCAAAAATAACCGAGGCTCAGCAGGAAGTGCCGTGCAGCCGGACTTCCCCCAACATGGCCGCCAAAGGAAAAATGCCCAATTCAGAAGCTCAAGGAACCGATTTAACGTTGAAGCTTGAAGGAAGAAAAGAACAGCTGCACACATCCTGACAGAAACCTCGGCTTGGTTACAGATTCATCCCTTTATGGTACAATAAATAAAGTTCAAGAGTGAGTTCATTATTGCTTTTCTGCTGCAGCTCAGGAACACAAAGGCTGTAGTTTGTTAGTGATGCTTCACAGAATGAGGATGTTTGCAGCCACAATGAGTTCCTTCCCTTAAACGGGACGTTTAGCATAACGTTTGTTCCTGTTTCATGGTCTAAAAATGTCTTTAACTCACTTATCAGAGATAACCATTAGCAACAATACAAACACTACAGATGTTTCCAGACAGCTGACAAAGGTGGCAGCGTTTCTCATGCTGGAAGATGTTCAGAGCGGAAGAAATGTTTTCTGATCACAGCGTCTGTCGGTGCAGCAGGAGGACAGATTACAGGACGGGAAGACGACTGAATCAGTTCTGCTTTGCATGAAATCACCACACAAAGGCACTTAAACATCCAAACTCCACAGCTGGAGCTTCTGACTACAGCTCAGTGTGAACAGAAAGGTGGATGATGCTTTCAGGCGCTACCAGAAACACCTTCAGTCCATGAATAAACACGATCACAGCACATGGAGGAGGAGGAGACGATGGTCCTGAAACTTTCTAGGAAGGCTTCCTAATTATCCTCCGTTGATCTCGCTTCAGAAACATCTGGCAGCAGCTGGTCTGATTACTTGGAGTGCAATAAAATGATTGTCAAATGCTCAGTAATCATGGCGACACGTTTAAACCGTTTTAAAAGCTTGGCTCCTTAATTCTCCTCTTAGCAGTTTGATGCAGTTTATTTTTTACATGTTTGATAAATGTTATAATTCAGTAGATTTATGTCTGTGTTTAAAAAAAATAAAAATTTTAAGTCAATTCAGCGATGTTTTTCTGTATCAGATCACTGTCGGACGATACTAAACTTCAAATATCGGTATCGGAAGTGAAAAATGTGGATCGGTGCATCCCCACTAAATGACAGAAATTATCGTGATAAAAACTCAGATCCTTCTTAGGAACTTACAACTTCATTTGGTCAA